GGATGGGAATGTGAATATGGCCTGAATGCATGAGAACGTGTTCATCTTGTAATTCGTTATGTGTCCAGATTTTGTGATGTATTTTCTGATCTGGTGATTTTCGTTTGACAGTAACATCGTCACTGATTTTTCCGTAATTATTTTTGCTGAATTGCTTTAGTGTGCTTTGAATTCGAGAAATGTATTCACTCACGTTTTTCCTTGATAATTTCTTTCCTGTATTGTTTTGTTCGTTCGTTTTTCTGGATTGGCTTAACAACCAATTCGCACGGAGAGCAATCCTCTTTGGTTGTGACATTCCATTGATTCGTGGTAGCCGTTTGGATCGGGTTTTTACGTCCTTTTGGACCGAAAGAATGTCGGTAATGTGGTCTTTCGCACGGATTCGGATTGGTTACAGCTACGGTGTAGGTTTGATCTTCCACCTTGGTCAGCGCAACATTAAGTTGGTATGGTACTTCGCATGTCCGGATTTGAATGATGATATAAAATAATATCGGACAGAACGTGTCAATTGAATAATATTGCTTCATTTGTCAAATTGTCAAATAGTATCGTCAAGTTTTGATATGTACGTTCTGATTGTAATACATCATCTCCCGGGTCTCATGAATGACGCAATTGTTATTCAAATTTTGTTGATAGCTACTGGTCTTACAAATCGGTGTTATCCATGTGATGCGATTTGTATGTTGTGAAATTTTTCCGGAGGTGTTCCACAGTTGACACAACATGAGAGCGCACTTGTAGGAATTGAAGTCCATTCAATTTCTACATGACTATTTGATCCGTTATAAGTTTTGTTTGAATTAAGAGATGATGTAATCTAATCCTAGGCAAAGCGTTTTTCTGGTGGTCGAAGAAGAAACGCGACATATGTATATGTAAAGCAAGATGTATCTATTTTCCATCAAATCAATCTAAACGTCTGCAGATTTGAATAACACACATACGCACGCAAATTGGTTAATCCGAGACCAAACTGTATTCGGTGGCAGGTGTAAGATCATCACTTGATAATTGATAAACGGAAGAAATGTGAACAAATATTTCCACTTCATAGCCCAATTTATGAAATTAGAGTTGATATAGTATATTGTGGTGTAGTGTAGTATACCCGGATAATGATAACGATCACTATGATGAGGATGATGACTCGGATGATGTTTGAATGTCTTACCACGGGGGTGATTTTGGTTTTAATGATACAATACAATGTACAATACAATACAATACAATACAATACAATACAATACAATATACAATACATTACAGTATATAATACAATACAATACACACAATACAATAATACAGTACAATACAATACACACAATATAATAATACAATACAATAGAATACAATACAATATACAATACAATACCATACAATACACACAATACAATAATACAATACAATACAATACAATACAATACAATACAATACAATATACAATACAATACAATACACACAATACAATAATACAATACAATACAATATGATCTGTATGGTAATGTATTTGATAGACTAAATAATTCAGCAGATAATGGTAATGATTCAAAGCTGTTTGCACATGTTTTGTTTCCTCTAAGACAGTTGAAAATAAGACTGTGCTACTTTACTGTACGCGATTTCCCAAATCATCAACCACGTTCAAATGCACCATGCTTTTTTCACGGATGAGAGAGAACACATGACAGTTCATTGCATATTCGTGCGACTTTTCCTATTACTTTAAAGTAAAGCGGTACACACGGGGTTTTTGTCTTCAACCAAATCGGTGCGCTGTTTGAACACTGAAATCTTCACACAATTTCTGAGCTTTTTCATTTGATTATTGATTTGAAAACGTACCAACATCGATGATGCGGTTTGCAGCACTGACTGGTTTGACTTGCGCTTCCGCAAAGGGGATCAGGCCCAATATCCTTTTTCCGCATCCTGGGTCACCGTAAATCTCATACCGCATTGCTACTGTGTAGCCATTTTTCACCTTGGTAATGATTGCTCCGGTTTCCGGACGAATTCGTAATACAAACGGTCCTCCATAAAATTGTCGATCTCCTTCATCAGTGCGTTCAACACCGTTTAACGTGTACGTAAGCGCACAGTAGCCACTTGTGACCACTTTTGCCGCAATCATCGTTTCCATCGGCCCAGTGGCTTTGAATTCCGTGATTTGTATCACTGGAAAAATGAATTGGTAGACAGTTTTGAAAGAAAGTGTTGTTATTATTACAAGTTGAAGATTTTCTGTATCAACCATAAAACAACGGTTGGATTCGACAAAATATGTAGAGAAAGTTTTTATCCTTGGATAAAAGGTATCGTATTCGGTCGAGCCGGATTTTCGAACCAAGTGTTCGAATTTCAGTTGCTTAGGTGAATAACCGTGAATACAGAATCGTTGAATAGGTGGTCAATTAAAACGCATCAATCACATCCGTCGGAGTCGGAGGGACGGGGATGCACGTGTGTGTGCTTATGTGGGTGTGGGTGTGTGTCGGATCTTTTACTGTGTCTTTGGATGTGATCATTCGTCATTTGGGACACGTTGTGTCCTATTTTGGTTTTCACACTGGGTCAGGGCAATTGAAGCGCTTGAGCCAGCCGTTTTTGGGCACACAAGTTTGGGCAAAGTAGTCAAATGGCGATCGCCTCCGCAATGTCCAATGTCCAAACTCGGGACGCCTTCGATCGATTGAGTGGGATACGATAAAGAACATCGAAAGCTTTCTCCGGTGCGATCTTATGTCCAGTGTCTACGAGATGACCCACGAGCGCACTTGAGATAAAGCCGGTCTTCCACTGACTTAACCATCGCGGACAGTGCTCCTTAACGCGTTGAGACAAATGCCTTACTGTACGACGTATGTAACGTGCGCTACGGCGCACTGAAAGGACTAACTTATTATGGGTGAGATCAATTTCGGTAGTTCGTTTTTTACTTGCATTCTCGTCACTGGTGATGTAAGGAACACCGCTCTAAGCTTCGCTGCAGGAAGAGTGGAATTCATCGCCGCTCCCAATGAATGTACTAGGCTTTCTGTGGTTCAAACTCCCAAGTTGTCCTTATAGTGCATTCACCCTCAATCAATACCCTTCAAAAACGTCCACTTTTATGAATAAAAAATAACTGACAGG